CTCGAAATTAGTTCTATACATATGACCAGCAACGAGAAAAAGAAATGTAATAGCTAAATAATGGTGTGCAATATCGGTCAGCCATAATCACACCTGTAAAATCTTCTCAAAATTTTCACATTATTCATGATACCTTAGAGGAGAAAATTTCAATTTTGGTCATATGATTATAGGGGTTTTGTTAATTTTAGCACCTGACTTTCAAAAGTGTCAATTTAGTACCTTGAGTATGTAATTTTTGTTAATTTTGATCACTTCGACCAAATTATCGGTCAAATTTCTCCGTAAAAAATGACAATTTTACTAGACTTCAAAAGACGATTTTGCCCCCTCAGATTATAGACTAAATGAATGATTAAGTTTTTCCGACGAAATTTGACCGCCAATTTAACCGGAGTGACCAAAATTGATAAAAATTACATAATCAATGTACTAAATTGACACTTTTAAAAGTCAGGTGCTGAAATTAACAAAATCCCTATAGTCATATGATCAAAATTGAAATTTTCTCTACCTTAGAGTGTTGTAAACTTGTGACTTAAAGAGGGGCATAATTGGGCAAACACTATTCGGTAGAGGGGCAAATTTGTCATGCAGAATGGGTCCCCACAAAACATGGATAATTCATTCATTTTTCTTCTTTTTTCAATCTTAACAGCCTGTGGCCTGTGGGTGGGTGAGGGGGACGGTTACAGTGGGGACGCTGACAGAGTAGAATTCCACTTTCAATGGTATGCAGATCTTGCGGTTGTCCTCGCTCCACGTGGCTGAATGTCCGTCAACGGTCCACCCTCGCCCGCCGGTTTTCCAATCATAGGGTTTAAACAGCTGAAGCGGTCGAATGTCCGGTGTCGTGTAGTGGCGGCAAAACTATTAACTCAAATCGTTTTTCTAATTTTGATTTTAGCAATTTAATAATAGAGGACGATGTTTGGGTCGTCCCCTTCATCTCATCTATCCTTGTTAAGATAATTTTTTCAGGAATGAATGAAGTATATGGTAAAGATTTGAGCTTTTCGTGGAATGGCGGGGGTTTTATCCATATAATTGCTTGAAATATAGCAATATCAAATGTGTGGTTTTTCTGTACTGAGTTTTGCTTTGCTTGGATAAAGATTTTGGCTTTATGTTACACAATTCTGTACCTTTAGTGTAAGGATTCTGTACCGAAAATAAATTAAAATTTGTGTTGAAAAAGGAAGATATAGATCTGTTAAAGCATAAATATAAAATGACGTTGTTTTAATCTAGGGTCTACAATGTTATGTGGATCTTGGTCCACGATATATACAAGGTGTTTGGTTGGAAGGAAAGAATTAAAGGAGAAAAGAATTGTAATTCGGTGGGAAAAGAATAAGGTGGAATAAAGTAGGAATTCAAATTACGTTGTTTGGTAGTGAAAAATAGAATTATTGGAATTGAGAAGGAAAGAAATAGTATAAATATTAAAATACCCTTATATAATAATAATAGTATAATAACTAATAATAATCAAAGATAGTAGTGCCATTTCATCTAATTTTTTTCTTCCCTACAACCATTGAATTGCAATTCAACAAAAAGAATGAATTACAATTCCCTCCAACCAAACATTATAATGAGTGACCAAAGAATTGTGGTGGAATTGCAATGCAATTCATGTCTACCAAACAACCCATTTAAATTGCCATATAATGATGGGTGTTTGATACAATCGTTATATCGTGGACCAAGGCGCACAATGCGTTGTGCTCCCTAACTCAAAACAACGTTATTTTTATAAGTTGTATGGGAAGTTGACACGACGAACACGTGTATTCTTTTAAGAGATTCTGTGTATTCTGTTAAGAATTTCTTTGTATTATGTTAAGAGTTTCTGTGTATTATGTTAAGAGTATTTGTGTATTATGTATTATGTTAGATTGTGTGTATTATGTTAGGAATTTATGTGTATTCTACTATAAAATTCTATACATCCGAAACATAGTATTTTCTTTTTATTTAGAAGTAATGGTAGAAATGAGAAACGATGTCTTTTTGGTCAAGGTACCTACAATGTATTGTGCGCTTTGGTGCATGATATAATTTGCGGGTTTGATAGCTTGATCAGAGGATAAAACTAATAACAATCAAGATTGGGCTCAACCCAACACTCACAATGGCATTGTGTGAGTACATATTTAGGCCCACATGTTTGTGTTGGGTAAATATTTTGTGTACCCCGATTCAGCTTACAAGATAAATTTGAGCTCAAAATATATAATTTATATACCGTCACAATTTTATAAAAGATAAATTTGAACATTCAGTATACAAATTGTGTATTTTGAATTCGAATCTATCTTACAAAATGGACCATAATCCATATATATAACAATTGTTTGGATTGTTTCAATTTTATGATATATTATTGTATTTCGTACAAAAAGTACCAATACCAATTGTTAATCGATATCTTAGAAAATCATATACTTTATAAACGGTAAACTATGGATGTTCAATATCTTACAATTTATCATAGTTATTTATATATTGAGTTAATACCCAAAATCGTCCTCGACTATAGTGGTTTTTCTCAATTTCGTCCTAAACGACTTTGGTGACCTAATATCGTCCCAGACTTTTGTGTTTCGCTCAATTTAGTCCTCCATTTGTTATTCCGTCAAATTGGTGTTAAATAAAGGGACAATTCAATAATGTCAATATTGATCTCTCTTTACTTTCAACTTGTGAAGTGCGAAATTCTTCTTTCTTGTACGAATTACACCCAGAATTACTCCCGGACCTACAAATCAAATTTTATATTCGTAGTTTTAGGAGTAATTCGTAAAAAAAAAAGGGATTTCGCAGTTCACATGTCTATGAGTAAAGAGATGCCAATATTAAAATTACTGAATTGTCTATTTATTTAACACCAAATGGACAGAATAACAAATGAGAGACTAAATTGAGCAAAAACACAAAAGTCTGGAACTAAATTGAGCGAAACACAAAAGTCTGGGACGATATTAGGTCACCAAAGTCGTTTAGGACGAAATTGAGAAAAACCACTATAGTCGAGGACGATTTTGGGTATTAACTCTTTATATATTATAGACTTAAAAACATAAAAACTGTTGACAATTCTTAACCCATAATTTATTTTCGCCAAACATGAGACTTTTTGATTTTTGATTTTTTTGTGTGCGTGGGTGTGGGGTTGGGGGGGGGGGGGGGGGGGGGGGGCGAAGAAAGAGAAGAAATAAAGAAGATATATAAGACCTTTCTTGTAAAATAGGATTAATCAGAAAGTAAGAAATTGCAAGTTGCTAAGATTATTTAGCCCCTAAACTAATCATTATCCTAATTGCAATTAAAATATACCGAAAGGGTGGACTTTGGCTTTCTCAAGTCAACATTAAATGTAATGTTTCATTTACCCATTCACAACAATGACAACTAATCTGGCCAGTATTTTACCCTTTAATTAAATCGGTTTACTGTGAACGTGAATTAATTTAAGTATTGTACGGACTTAAAGGTGCTCCTACAATTAGAACATGCTCAGGACACTTTCTGAACTGAAAAAAAAAAATGACAACAATTATTATCATATTGTATCAATTCTCACGGTAATCACAATCTAACCAATATATATATGTTTCTTCTCTGCCCCATCAATATAATTTTGGAAAGTGGGACGAAGTTACATTTCCCCATCATAATTAATTAGGGAAAAAGAAAGGTAAGCTACTTAATTAATTAGTGTGTGACAATCAAAATGGTGGTTTTGAAATTCAACCATCGTGCAAAATTTTATGTAGAATTTTCAAAAGTTAGAAATTAAAGCACATGTGAATGAACTTTTGGTATAGTCACACAAAGTGACTCTTCCAAATAACAAGTTATGGGTTTGAGTCTCAGTGAGTGGCGATAATAGAACTAAATATTGATTGGGTGTCCACTTCACGGTAAATTATTGCATGGATTATGGCTCACACAATGTTGTATGGACCATAGAAAAAATACATTTTTAAATATACTAAAAGTACATTATTTGTGTAATGAATTTACATTATTTGATAGTATATAAAATAATAAAATGATCCACACAGCTGTATGGACCATAACCCACACAATAATGATTGTCACCTCACTTGGTAAATTACATTTTGGATCATGGTACGCATTGTAAAATGAATCATTATTCATTTTTACATTTTGGATCATGGTACACATTGTAAAATGAATCATTATTCATTTTTAATATACTGAAAATCTATTTTTAGTAATATATTAAAAATGAGTCTCCAACATTAAAAATAAACCTTTAAAAAAAATGAACATTCAATCCATTAAAATGAATATTTAGTATAGTACGTAACAATAAACATGAATGTCAATTACTCGCTTTACCATGTGAATTATGGTCCATGGTATAATAATTGCATTCACTCTCATGCCGCTATGAGGAAAAAAAAATGAACGGTTCTTTTGTCACCAATTCGATCTTCTTTTTTTTTTTTCTCTCTCAATTATTTGATATGATCAAAGTATCATCGCTCTTTCTATTTTTAGAAAGAGGCATTAGAGTAGACGACACCAAAGAAAACTCTATAACGTGTGATCAATAAGTGGCACAATTATTATTCTCACTCATTTAAGTGATATCATCGATTACAAAATAATTAATTGCATAAGATGATGATTTTGGATAATGCAAATCTTTAGTGTGAGATACATAACTATAATCCTAGTAGGTGTTTATTTACAAACAATAATTTAAAAATCAATGGAGAAAATGAAAGTTTGGAATAAGACAATTAGACAAATCAAAGATTTCAAATACACTTAAGTTCCTCCAAATGGAAGTTTCCCCATAAGCAATTAAGCTGCATTCTCTCATCCATCATCACAATGACATCCATATACTATATATATATATACACCAAAAGCTTTTAAACTTTAGTAAATAACATCATTATATAAATATATATTGTAGCAAGAAGATAAAAATAAAAATAACAAATAATCAGCTTAAGACAGAATATTAATTAATTAATTAATTAAATTAAATCCTAAATACCATTCTGAAAAAAACAACTAACTACGGAATGATAATAATTAATCAACGGTCATGATCTTAATTCACATCATTAAGCTGATCGGCCGGGAACACCCCAGGTTTGGAATCAGGTGGCAATGTTGTCGGCCGGATTGTAGACCGGAACATCCAAAGGGAGTATTGGGAACGGAATATGGTTAAGCTCTTCCATGAAGCCGTCGAACTCCGGCAAACCGCCCAAGAAACCGCCGCCGGAGTTGGCGCCGCTCCAAATCTCGTCTTCTCCTTTGATCTTTTCTCTCAAGCCTGCGAGTTGGAACCCAGCTCGGAGTTCCATTTTCTTGGCCGCCGGAATTACGCCTCTCGACTCGGCCGCAAGCTTCCTGGGAACTCTCGCTCTCTTCTTGCTGTTGCTTTGCTTCTCCGGTGGCTTTCCGGTGAGCCTTTGCACCAGCTCCCGGAAGTTCTCCACGTCGGTCTTGATGATCTCTGGGGCGAAAATGTGAATTATCCGGATCTTGGGCTTCAGTTTGTATATTGTCTGGGAATCTTTGTTTAAACCTAGTGATGAAGGAGGTGTGTTTGGAACAGAAGCAACTTTTTTCTTCATCATCATCATCATCCCTTCCACGTTGAACTCAATTCTTTTGACAAATTAAAGGATCCGTGTTCTTTTCAGTGGGTTGGTGATTTCGTTTGTATAAGAAGAGAGAGATATATACGGGTGGTGTGTAACTGTGTATATAATATATATAGATGAAGAAGCAAAGGTTTATAAAATTGAAGGACAAGAAGAAAACTCCAAATTACACTGGGAGTGGGGACCACACTTAATATACTTGATATTTGTTTAGTTTTTAAAGTTCACTACCACTCACGCTAACAAAGAAGTTGGTTAGTGAATGAAAAATTTTTAAAAAATAAAAATTCTTATGTGAGATTGTCTCACGGTGAGACATATAAGTCTCACGTGTGACAATCTCGTCTCACACAAGATTAGTAATTTTTATATATGTATGAATTAAATTTTGAACTATTTGATATTAAAATATCTTGTTAATTATCTTGATATCCTCCCCACTACAAATAACTTGCTTATAAAAAGAGTAGAGGTTGATCATATTTGTACCATGTGTGACATCCTTCATGAAGATATTATACATTTATTGGTTTTGTGTGACTATGCAAACACCATATGGACTCAATCCAACCTTCCAATCCCCAATATTGTCACAAATATTTGTCATTTATGGTTTAGGGAAGTGTTGGATATCCTAGACACTGTCACACTGATGAGTTTATGTATGCAGTTGCAATTCTATACAATATTTGGAGAGCAAGGAATGGAGCGGTATGGGAGGCTTGCCTTCTTTTGCCGAAAAAGGTGCTACACACTGCTGCAACTACTCTACATGCTTGGCGCCGTATGCACCCATCCTCAGCACCGCAGCTGCCTGCCGGGGACATCGAGCCATCCAGTATTCCCGACGCTGCTGTGCCGCCCGAGCCACCACCTGCTGCAACAATCTACACTGCCCAGCTACCCCCGAGAATATGCCAAGTGGATGTCGGGTACCAATCGACAACAAACAAGACCACAGTCGAAGCCGTCCTACTCGACGACAATGGTGGATATATTTCGGCCTTTAGTGCTATGCTCCCGGATTGTTTCTCTCTGCTTATGGCCGAGGCATTTGCATGCAAAGAAGCTTTGTCATGGCTACGAAGCCGAGGGGAACAGTCCATACAACTGTTCACAGATTGTCAAACGCTACAATGTTACCTGTCCTCCACAACTATTTCAGTTCGTTCATATATTGGCTATGCTATTGATAGTTGCAGATACTACATATCTTCTTTCGATTACTGTTCAATTAGTTTTATTCCTAGATCGGAAAATTATTTAGCTCATACTATACACTAGCTTCTACTGCTTTTGATCATGCTATTACTATGTACTGGGACAATGTCCCCCTAACTCTATTTCAGCTTATCTCTAATATATGACCGCATTGGTTTGGTTTAAAAAAAAAAAAAAAAAAAAAAAAAAAACTTTGTTAATTAACTCTATATAATACGGAGTATTATCTAGTTAACTCACCCGTAATTGATAAATATATAGGATTATAATATTTATCACAAAATATTTCATTTGATAAATTGTAGATTAACAGCTGATTAAGTACTTAATCTATTGTTATGATAATTCAATTCGTTATTTTTTTTTTTCCTTTTCTGAAGTCTGGATGAGTATGAAAATATGAAATTAAGAATGAATGAAAGATAGTTGCCAACTTGGCAACTTGCTACTATATTAAATCGAAATTGAATTAAAAGATGATATATTTAATGACACTAAGGAAGTGCATTATTACTATTATAGGCTGTCGTAAGTTGTTTCTCTCCTTCAACAAATCTTCTGGTTCCTACTTCCTTATAGGAAACATGCAAGCCACAACTCAAAGCTCTATCTATACGTTCACAACAAATATAATGGCTGCCACACCTTAGCTTGGCTTTTATATATATATATATATATATATATATATATATATATATATATATAACACTTTAAAAAAAAAATCTTTAATTAGATAAAACATTAAGTTAGATCGGGTATTTATTTAACTCTTATTTATGCAAATTGGAAAAAGTTTTGACAGATATATTGAACTTAGTTTAATTATATTTAACTCCTGTTACATTATTATGCATTTTTTCTTCATTTTGGATTAATTAATTCAAACCTCAGTTTAATTATTTATATCACCCATTTTTGTTTAGACACCACATCATCTCTCAAACCCCTGCCTTTTTCTCCTCACGGCGGCAATAATCGTTCTTCTTTGTTTTAATTATTTAATTTTCATCACCCTTCCTTCCCAATATATTGTTAATTGAGTTGCATTTCTCATTATTATATATATCAAAGTTTTAGAATGGAATTGAAAGATAAAACTTTATTAAGTCAAATTATATTTTTGCGATAGCACCATACCTTAAAGGACATACAGTAAAATGTCCTATTTTCTTTTTACCCAAAGCTGAAAATTAAAAGCTGTTACTTATGAATTGCTTGTGCACTTGACAGTACGTACGTACCAATTATTGTACAACCAACGCGCAAAAGCTAGCTACCAAAAGTGACTTTTGGAGAGGGAGATCAGAGGGGAATATATATATATATATATATATATATATATATATATATATATATATATATATATATATAGACGGAGCCAGAAATTATGTTGAGGGGGGCAAAGAAGTAGGGCTGGATTCAGTGGTGAATCCGGAAATTTTTTTCGGTGGGAGCAAAAAATTAAAAGAAAAGAGAAATTTTGAAAAAAAAATGAAACACTTAAGTATAACAATGAATATTGTTGGATATAACGAAAATAAAACATATTAAAATTTTATAAAAATATTTATAACAAAATATGAAACATAATTAATTTGATAAAACAATTCGAATATAAAACACATTATAAATTACACATCCCATTATTAATATAAAAAAAGTGATATATACATCTCATTATTATTATAAAAAAGAAAGACATCTCATTATTAATATATATGTATGGATGTCAAAATTTAATTGTGTTGAAGCAAAGATGTAGAAGATTGTGACCTTGCATTAATATAAAAAAAAAAAGTGATATATACATCTCATTATTATTATAAAAAAGAAAGACATCTCATTATTAATATATATGGATGCCAAAATTTAATTGTGTTGAAGCAAAGATGTAAAAAGTTTTGACCATGCTAATGCAAGGACTCAAACCCAAGCTATTTCTAAATTCAAACGCACTTCTTACCACCTTATCTACTGAAGCTTTTGATTTCATAATCTGTTCTGTAATAGTTATACTTATAATGTACTATATATATATATATATATATATATATATATATATATATATATACAAAGGCTATATATAGGGTAGGGGTAGGGGTGGGGGTGGGGTGAGGGGGGCAGCTGCCCCCCATTTGCCTCCATCCCTATATATATATATATATATATATATATATATATATATATATATATAGCTAGGGTCGTCTAGTTCAGGTGAGAACCACTACTTTGATGTGCATGTTGAGATGTGAGGAGCGGTGCAGTGATGCATTCAGTGTGCAGTTGTGTAGTGGTGTAGTGATATATATCAAGTCAAAATCATTATAAATTACAATATCAACGGTGCACAATGGTACACAAGTTCAAAATGTTAATTGAGGTTCTCATTTGTACCTAATTCTATATATTTTTTTTATTTATTACATTTTTTAAAATAAAATCGTAACATATGATCAGATTTTTTATTAATATAATAAAATTATATCTTTTTTTTTTTATAGTTAAAATATTAATAATATAAGTATTAGAAATGGTGTAGATTTGAACCCTTCGGAGGCAGGCCTTGGGTAATGCAAGCTAAGCTAGATCATCATGAACTCGATCAAACAAAAAATAAATTGTCATGTATTTAATGTTTGCCATTTGTCAATATTTTGGTTTTAGGTTGTGAAAGAAATTCCATTTGCCGCTTTCACTATGATGCCTATATATATATATATATATATATATATATATATATATATATATGCTACTTAGCTTATTAGTGATGGAGCTATCAGATCAGAATCCAAACAATCATAATCTCCAATTATGCAGCCCAGCTAAACCCTTTATTATTTTTCTAACTAATAACTGCTAAGAAAAGGTCAAACTCCGGCCTGTCCATTGTATTGTTCCCTTCAATAATCTTTTGGGAATATTTTGTGTGTTTTTTTTTTTTAAATAATTATTATTATACTTAAAAATAACAGTGAAAAACAACATGTCTAAGTCAACCATGTCTAAGCATGACATGTCCGTTGTTCCCTTTAATAATCTTTGGGAATGACATGTAATTTGGTCCAAACATGCTAGAAAGAGTTGTGAAAGATCAGAACGAGTGCGTCTAAGTCAGATCAACTGTCTTTTAAGAACAAAACATATAAACTGTGAGAGATTATTTGAAAATCTTCTCTTCTACAACTTAGGGGCTTGCAAGTGTTTGAGCAACTGATTTCATATTGCTATTTACTATAGAAGGGCAATTCAACTAATTAAACCTTAACTAATCCTAGTTTTTTAAAACTAAGATTGCCTGTTGCGTATACAGTTTCTATTCGCTGTTATCCATTTTATTTGTACAAATCTATACATTGAACTTACATACATGTGTGTGTGTATATATATATATATATATAGACACAAGCCCACATCCATTGCATAGAGTAATATAATTTACTAGGTATAGTATTATTGGTGAGTGTGTTTGTTTGTCTGGATTGGATGATTTTGTTTGGCGCTACAATAATGTTAAGCACGTACTTTATGTTTGTCAGTGTTGGTTTGATGTGGGGATGGGAAGAAGGAGGGCTTTATGTTACGACAGATGAGATGTGCCGACTACTATTGACCATCATTTTCACTTTAATTTGAAGCTTTCAAAGTGATGTTGCCCCTCGTAGACGATTAGCGGGTGCTTAATTGGTAAATGACTGATAACTGTTAGCTGA